TCTTGAGCAGTACTTTCATGTGGTACTGTTTATTATGCTGTACAAGGTGTTTCTAACTTTTAAGTCTGTGGATGAAACCCCAGTGTGTGACCATTCAAATGAAACCTATTGAGCAGTACTTTCATGTGGTACTGTTTATTATGCTGTACAAGGTGGTTCTAACTTTTAAGTCTATGGATGAAACCCTAGTGTGTGACCATTCAAATGAAAGCTATTGAGCAGTACTTTCATGTGGTAGTATCTTAACTATGCTGCACAAGATGGTTCTAACATCTACATGTGGGATGAAACCCTAGGGTGTGACCATGTTTTTAAGTTTAAAAATTCAACGTTCTGTTAATTCAATGTTGTGTTTGCAGAGATGGTAGCTTTCTAGTGACAGGATCAGGGGACAGTACAGCAAGAGTATTTACAGTGCAAACACCCGGAAGATGACAATAAAAAACAACACTAAAGATGTCTTAAAATACTATTTAGCACATAATGATTCCCTTCCCAGTACAAAGTTCTCGACCCTTGCATAGCACTGCCGCCTTCATACTCTAATGTTGGAAGAGACCTTGCCTTGGACTGGTTACAAACCCTGGATTACTTTTTAGTCGAGGTTTTCGCAAGTACAGTTGATGAAAGCCACGTTATGAGCCGGTGTTCACATCGCTGAAATCGATAAAATTTTAACAGAAGTTAAGACGTAATCCGATAGAAAATCGAGCAATTTCAGGTTTTAGTGGACAAAAATCAGGTACAAGAATAATTTTAAGTATTTTACAGTCATTTTTACATTTTCTTAAAGCTAAATACATAAATAATTTCCTGAAATAACACCGAAAACAATTTCCCATGGGAACGAGAGAAAATAAATTTCAAAGTTCAGAGAACTTGTGCAAACACAGGCAAAATTTCGTCATCAGTTTCATTTCACCAGTACTTTCAAGTGTTTCATACGAAGTTCAACATTCGTTTTCGACGTTTGGTGTTGCTAGAAATGATTTTTTTTTTTGAGCAGATATTTAGAACAGTCGTACAAAAGTTTGCAATACGATGTAAATAATCTTGATACTAGGTTTTTGTCCACTTGCTACTCAAACTTCTGGTGGATTCCGTCTTAATGTCATTCGTTGTGATTGTATTAGCCTCCATCACCATGTCACTGTTTCAACCCCGTATCACAGGTCACAATTTTACACACGAGCTCTTTATTCAGCTTGCGATAAGATTAAGTTACATCCCTGCTTCAACTTTCTAATGCTGGAATGCTTCACAAATATGTTTATAGTCAACATATGTGAATTAATTAACAGTTGGTAATCAAACTATACAAGGGAATAAATGGTTTAAAATATTTAAAGTTATTCTTTGATAATAAATTAGACAAGTGTTATCCTGCCATCTCGGGTCGCGCCAATCTCACATGGCAAAATAAATTTGACTTTAAATGAATCGCTTACTAGAATGAAAACAGTGATTCTAGAAACTGGTCAAGAGTCGGCTTATGACGAGCTGTCACCGAGCCTTGGCCCCAGTTTACCACAGGGCATTTTCTCTCCCTCATTTTTCCTTGCTCACTTCGGAGGGTGAGGGTCTCCAGAAAGTGGAAGTCACTGTTTCTCTCAGGACCACTAGTTTAGTACTGCCACGAATAAAGGTGTTAAATAAGTAACAGTTATTGGACGAGGTTGAGCAAAATAGCGTGATTTGTCATTGGCGAGCAGATCAATTTTTTGCTGAAGCCGAAGGCTGAGGATAATAATTAATCTGCAAAACACTGACAAGTTACGATATTTTGCAATAACCAAGTCCAATAATGGTTTTATTATTCAGTCACCAAGTTTGTTTTCATATTTAAATCATTCTCTGACAGCTGAGGGAAGCGATCTGTCATTTTACACCCGAGAGCGTGGTTACAATATTACGCTTGAGCTGAATATTATTTGCAGTGAAACACATCAAGACGGTGCTGCTAATGAGCAGACCATTACTTGTAGGCAGTTTCATGCAAGTCAGTTGGTGGGCTCTCAGCCAATGAAAAGAGAGCAAAAATGCATCGAATGATATGACTATTACTCGTCATCAAGACTTACATTAAAAGAAGTTCTTGTCTTCAGCTTCTTCACTTAAAATAGCAGCTGTCGTCGACTGATTATCACTCAATGATTTTTAAGAAAACTTGATCCAAAATTGCGGCATCAGCCGGTCGGTAGATGACTGAGTGTCTATATTACGATTTGAGTGACGCTAGTCTACTTGTGTCTTGTGCTTGTGCTTACATTTGGGCCTCGTCAACAATCGGCCTGGCCAAGACTAACGCATTTTTCATATAAGAATGTTTATTTTTCAT